TNNNNGTTTTATAATATTCAAGTGGAGTCTTAAAGTCTCTTGTACATTAAGACTACTGACAAAATAATATTTTAATCAATGAGTTTCCTTTCCTTGTAGCCAAATTATGAATGTGATTTGAGGAGTACAACAAATCGATATATAGCTGACTTGCTTTTTTCATTGTAGTTTTTTTTCTTTTTTTATAATGAATTTAAAGATATTCTAAAATATAGCAAAAATTAATTTTTTTATTACAATTAGGAATTTTACTAAATATAAACTCTCAATCTATGGTGTTAATCAACGTTTAAGTCTAAGAAATTAGGAATTTTTACCTCTTTTAATCAACGTTTAAGTTTAAAAAACAATAGAGTTATTATAAGTTTTTTTTCTACATCTTTTAAAACATTAAATATGAGCATGTTAGGGCTAGCTTGTAAAATAATTAATATATTATCTCACTAAAACATTTATACTAATAAAAATTTAATTTTAGCATATAAATTTATCCATTGATATAAGAGAAATAACAGTTTTACTTATATTGTTGTTCACTATATAATATTTAATTATTATTTTATTATATAATAAAAAAGAAATATTGTTAAATAGTGTAATAGAATTGTTATAAAATTATATGATTTTTTTTTTTACAATATGGATTTAATATTTTTTTTATGATTTGATAATATAAACAAATCTATTCTTAACTTTGACAAATAAAACAAATAAATACTTTAGTAAGTATTTAATGTATATACTAAATAGGAATATATTTGGTATAGTCAAATACCAAATATAATCAAATAAGTCAAAGTGTACATTTTTATTTGGTATTTGATTTTTTTATTATTAAAATCTTTTTATTATACTTACTTTTTTAAAATAAAATAAATAAATAAAATCAATTAAATAAATAAAATATTATAATACCAAAATATAATGACATTTAATGCAGTTGACTTTTCTGGATAGTAAATATAGTAAATAGAATCTCCTTTTATATAAGTATAGATTGTATAATACGGAAATAGTAATGCAATAAATGTTGTTGACTTTTCTTTATACTAAATTTGGTAAATGGTATACCTTTTAATATAAGTATAGATTTAATGAAAATCATATCATGAGTTTAATTTTGTTCAATTTTGAACACGTCATTTAACATATATCATGTCCGCCAGAAATGAAGTCCGCATAAGAGCAAAATGTTGGACACGCTGACAAATATGTAGTCGCCTACAAGGTTTGAGTTCGAGTTGCAAACTTTAGACAAGACCACATGTTTTTTTTTTTTTTTATAATAAAAAAGCATACAACCTACCGATAATTGGGCCATATTATATCGACCCAAATAATTAGACCGATCTAACATATACATCAAGAATATCACAAATCGAAAATACGTCATTACGCTACATCTTGTGCCCCACCTTTTTATAATAAAAAAACTTGAAATACTTTCCAACTTGGACGGGCTCCAAGATACGTGCACCACCACAATTACATACCTTACTTACTCATCCACACATAATGTGATTTTATTTTGCTCATCCTTTGTTTTCTTCTTAATTCCCACATCAACCCCAAAAAAAAAATTCCCATCCCATGGCAAAAATCAGAGGATTCCGGCTCGGTCGCCGCCTCGTCAGCATCTTCCGGCGGCGGAGATCCGCCGCCTACCACCGTCTGGAACCCCCGGCGGGGCCTGTCTCCAAGCTCCGCGGATGGCTTCACTTTCTGGGTCGCAGGGCCCGTCGAGCCAAACCGGGCGGCTACGCACGGCTCGGGAAAGAGCCGGCCGAGCGGCGGCCCAATAAGCCGCCGCCTAAGGGCCACATGGTGGTGTATGTTGGTGATGGGGAGGAGGAGGCGTGCCGGGCGGTGGTGCCCGTCGTGTACTTCAACCACCCGTTGTTTGGGGAGCTGCTGACGGAGGCCGAGAGGGTCTACGGGTTCGACCACCCGGCCGGGATTATTCAGATTCCGTGCCCGAAATCCAGGCTGGAGAGTGTACGAACGAGGATAGCCGCCACGAGCGGCGGCGGTATGTGGCGGAGGAGGTGGAGTGGAGCTAATTCGTGAGATTCGTTTATGATAGTTAGAGTGTGTTGATTACTTCTAATTTAAAACACATATTATATGCTTAATTAAATGTTTTGAAGGTTGACGTTAAACTAATTAGAAAGTTGTACACAATGTTTTATGTCCATTTTTTTTTATTTTTTTTTTTTTTTNTTCTGGTTTGTCCCTCCATTTTGCACATAAAAAGTTCTTCAAATTTACATTTCCAATGCTAAATAATGGTTTTCCTAAACAACTACTTCTCTACATAAAAAAACAAGTTCTTCAAAAAGAGTAGGATTTTGATATTTCCAATGCTAATTTAAGGGTTTTCCTAAACTACTCTTCGGCTTACTAAACAATTTATTAAACGTATTTATGGTGTGTGTTCAAAAACAGTGGGATTTTGACATTTTCAATGCTAATAATTCAGAAAAATTAGATAGATGCACAATGAAACTCAATATAAATAATATTGTACTCATTTCATATTGTAATGTCAATGTGATGTAACAGTAGATACGAGGAGGAATTTTTATCAGCATGTATATTGTGTACTATGAACACAAATAGCTAGTGTGTGTATATATACATTTAAAATTTATAACTTAATGAATTGAATAAGTTTATCTCTTTTAATATATTCATAACAAATACAACTGTCAAAAATAGTTAGAAATAGAATCAAACAATTTTTTAAATTATACATGTTCATTAATATTTTTTTTCCAATTATTGAGCGCACTCACTAAAGAGTTTATTGACAAATTTATTCACCACTAAAACTAAACTTGAGTTTGATTTATGTTCTTTAACAAACTATAGACGTGTGTTCAAAGGAGCTTGGAGGCAAAATTTATTTTGCCTATTATATTGGCCTCATTTAACTTTCCACATAAGGTACGCTATAGTAACAAACATCAAAATTGATACATTAATTCGTAAAACTATATAAAAACAATGTAAACTACTCATTAATGAAGGATAAAAGTTTGGACAATATAAATTTATCATGGATTTGGCGCGTGCTGATCACGGGCTGAAAATTTAATTTGTGCATATAATTTTAGAATTTATTGAACAAACCAACTTCAGCTGGTTTAAAATCTTGGGTATACGATCGTCCCGACGAGAAGTATCTACGTGAATTACACTCTAATCACCATGATGAGACTGGTCCCTCAACACCATAATTAGGTTGATCGAATATAGAACAACTCAAATTATGCTGAATGAAAAATTAAGTAGGCAAACGAAAGCTAATTGAGCTATAAGTTTCTAATTACGACCATCTTGATGAGACAAATCCAAAAGTGAGATAACTGACTAAAACATATGCCCGAAGGCACCAAACTGCCCCAAGATCGAGAAGAATGAATTTGGACCAAATTATTTTGGATGAAAATTAAATAGGCAAACGAACTTCAATTGAAATAAAATTTTGTAGGTACAACTTGTTCAACAAGAAGAATTAGATGGTGGATCATCCACCTAAACTGGATGCTAGATGACACCCAAACTAAATCGGATATAAAACAACTTAAACAATGAAATCTGATTGGACTAAAGTTTACGAATTACCTTCTAGAATAGAATAATCCAATGAGTTATTCAAGTGAAACGAAGGTTAGACGGCGTTTAAATAATGTTGGAAAATAAACAAAAAAATTTATCTTGTTATTCGTAATTAGTGTACATTTTTTTTTTTGATTCTTACAAATTAATGTATCAAGTATGATGTATGTAGAATCTTCGTCTTCGCGAAATGTGGGTGGTGGAAAGCTTTGTGGAATTTGAACATCCTCCCTAAAATCAAAATGTTCCTTTGGAGGGTATGTAACTTGGCATTCCCTTCAGCTGAGAACCTGTTCAAGAGACATATTGGAGTGGAGGCTAGATGCCCCAGATGCTCGAGGTGGGAGTCTAATCTTCATGTTTTTTTCGAGTGCGATTGGGCTAAGAGACTTTGGAAATTTTCCGGGTGGTGGACTATTCTCGCTCCTATTCGAGGTATGGGTTTTTCTGTTATTTTTGAAGAGCTCTTGAACAATGATCGTGGTGCCGATTTTACTAGTTTTGCCTATTTACTATGGATCATTTGGCATGAGAGGAACCGAATTAAACGCGGTTTGCAAGCTAAATCGGTGGAGCAAGCTTGGTCAGTTGCGGTGGCTTGGCAAAGGAGGACACCAAAGCTCGGTCGGGGCGGCTCGATTTGGATCGCGTTTTGCTTCCACCAGCTTTTGATAGATGGTTTGGAACAGGGACTTGCCGTAATGATCTAACCTTATTCTGTGATGCGGCGGTTCGAGAAACAACAATTGGCTTGGGCGGTTGGATTGGAGATTCGAAAGGAGTTTGTTGGGCGGCCTTTGCAGTTTGCATTCCAGGTTCCTTTTCACCAGTTGCGGCCGAATCAGTTGCCCTCAGGTATGGTCTTTGCTTTGCATTAGATTCGGGATTCTCTCTTCAAAGTGCTAAAACATACGCTCTCTCAGTTGTTATCGGGTTGATTGAAAACTCCCCGTACGATTCGTTGCACCAAGTGTTCATGGATATTTTATCGCTTTTGGCAAAGCTTAATTGTGGGTCTTGTTCTCATGTGGCTAGGGATCATAATATTGTTGCACATTCTCTTGCTAGTCGGGCTCTTTCGTTTTCGTTGACGGGACTTTTATTTTGGATTGATAGCATCCCGTCTTTTTTATCTCCCTTGTTTGGATTTGTATCGGAAGTTTATCTTACGCTGGATTATATTTTGTATTTTATTATGTTTACTATTAGTGCAAAAAAAAAAAAATAATAAATAAAAGTATGATGTATGTCAATATAATATACATTTTTGAAAAAGAAGTCAATATAGTGCATCAAAAAACACATTTTATGGAGCTTTTATACACTAATTTCAAACTTGTTCACACATTAACAGAGAATTCATTTTCCTAATCTCGTGACATGAAAAATGTGATGATTTTTTGCCATGTGTGGGTTTTGTAGAGAATCGGAACCGGTATGGCCATTCTTAAAATCTAAGCCAAATGTCAAAATGGCATCCCTCTTCTTTCTGTTCAAATTGATCGTGTAAATCTAAAATCATATAAAGGATTCAACAAGTACATGTGTCATGTGTGTGCATTGTGCACTCAATGGATTGACTAGTAATGCTAAGGAGCCAATTGTTGGCTCCATTACGGAGCCAACAGTCAATTGTTGATCAGTAATGTATGTGGGACAGTCCATATGAAGCTGTCTCATTAACTATTGGTTCCTTAGCATTAATGTAGATCATTTAATGAGAAAATTTAAATGCGTGCATAAGTAATTAGTGTGAACTTCAAAATAATCACCTACTCATCATGGGAACATTTTAAGATGCTATGGCATTTTTATTATATATCACCATATATTCTAACTAAATACTCATTGTATATAATATGCTAATTTTTTGGCACGTGTCACATCAATTGGTGTATATATTAACTAAGGCCAAAATTTAAAATTGGTCATATAATTTGACCAAAATCAAATTTTCCACCTCGATATTGACAACTTTCAAACTGATGTACTATAATTTGACAATTTAATCAATTTTGGTCCTTTTTTATCTGCACCTTGGATAAAATGTGACGTGGCATTTTTAGATCAGACATGGCGTGATTGTGGTTTTTGTGACGGGATTAAAACATTGATTTCAAAATCAACGATCCACATTAGCCACAGACCTTAGTTGCAATTAACTAAAACTTTTAAAATTACAAAATAGTCCACATAACTTATTAAATTTTAAAAAAGAGCCCCTTCTATTTCCAAACCCTATTTCAACATGTCCTCACCCGTCCACCACCGCCATTCGTCGGCCGCTGGCCGACCACATCCGGTCGGAATATTTTTTACATCAACTTAAAGCTCTTATCGTCCTCATTTACCTCTTAGAATTTTCCAGTGAATATTCCACCCGTAAGGCCGTCAATTTCTCCAGTCAAGATTTTTAGATCTAGAAATTTCAGTCAAAATTCGGTATTCTTCTTTCATTTCTCGACGATTCACGATGACCCACCAAAATTCGAGGACACCTCCCGTGATTATATTAGATCTGCTGATGTTTTTTACACTTGCCACATCAATTAGCGTATATATTAACTCGTACTCACCATGAGCAAGTCATCGTGAATGTTATCTAATCTCGTGTCACATCATTTGATCATGGGTAGTATGCTAATCTCATACCATGGTGGTCAAATTAACACGTGCTTAGTGGGAGGAGTATAGGACTAACTATGTACATATAATTATTAAGTTATATGCAAATAAAATATTTATTTATCTAATCCTTATACTTTTATGTAGAAATTTAAAACTTACAGTATATTGATGTATTTTTTTTAGACTACAACTCATATTATTTCGCACTTAATTAATTTATTGCGTAATTGTATGACTTTTATTTAATGGACTGTTTGATGATCAGAATAGAACGTGTTTATAAACACACCAATTAATAGACATATGCTAAGAACAAAGAAAATATAAATGGAAGAGGTATAGCACACAAAGTTCAATTACACATATTTTTTAACTGGGCCGCCGGTTCTCTAAAGAATTCAAAGATAGTAATTTATATTCTAAAATTTTGAATATTCGGCTATTTTATTTTATTTTTAAATTGAGAATATAAAGAAATAAAAGAAAAGATTGAGTACGATTTCGATTAATCCTGAAATCAAAAAACGTGTCTAATTGGACAATGATATACGAGTTTACGTTTTTCACTAGTGTAGCGTATTGAATACTTGAATTCTATGCATCTAATCTTGTCATTTTCTTGATTTTCCCTTGCCTAATATCAACTTCGTTGTCAAACGCAATATTTTTTTTTTTTTTTTCAAAAAAAAAGTTCATTGTCAACAGACGTTATAGGCTGTTTGTCTTTTGTTGGATAATTATGTAATGCCTAACACTACAAATATTGCAACTTGCAAGTCTCATTCATCACAATATTTATTGATGTGTTTCCGGCACGA